AGGTCCAAAACCAGCGAATTTATCTCCAAAACTGCACTATGATTGCAAAAATATTGCTGCATAAATAAACGTTCACACTCCCCCAATTGACTAAATTGCCATAATTGAAAGCGTTTATTTCGTAGTGTGGCATCTAGTGTGGCATACATAGCGACTAATTCTACGTCTATTGATCCGGAGAAATATCATCGGATCATTCTGCGGTCTGCGTTAGTTCATTCAAGTGTTAATGATTGATCAAAGGACATCTGATGAGTATCGTTGGACGCGAGAATTGTTCTCACTATAGTGGCAAAAGCAGAGGCGAGAGCAGGGGGAGCCAAAATTCGGAAAAATATTGTTTTTTAACGTTTTAATTGTATGCTTATATTGTACAATAATAGCCTTGTTTTTTCAGAACCGAAGAAATCTCTCATGGGTGAACGAGGATCCCCAATACACAGATCTTACCCCAGTAGGGGCAAAACCCTATACATTGTTCAAGTCGATCTACACCAATAACACAAACAGGTTCGTCTTCCATAGCACATACCAGTTCCAGCGTTTTCTCATTAACTTTTAGCAACAAGGTCCAATTTCTCGCACATTTCAGACCACAAGAGTATTCATTCAAAACGGAACGAACAACCGAGTCGCTTTGTTCGATATCCAGAGACCAAGGCTATACAATGGGTGCCGAAGCGGAACTAACGTTGAAGACTCCTTGTGCGTTTGCTATCTTTTTTGTTCTTACTAAATATGGGGGTTTCAAGGTGCGGAGGTTTTTTGTGTTCTCTAAGACCCTTGCGATTAAGCACCGTCAAAAATGCCTTGAAACAGATGCTAAAATCCATGCCACTGAACCGAGGAAATTTTGGCTTACTTCTCAAACATAAAATAAAAGTTCTGCGAAACAATGAAAAAAATCGGTAAATCCTTTGGAATCGGATTTTTGTTATAATTTGACATGATTTATTTCATGAACTTCTGCTGCTCTCATGCATGAGTCAAATCTCAAAGTTCTTGACAATGCTCTCTTGCAATTCTTCATCTCCTTAAGTATTCTTATTCTAATTTCAATGCATCACTGCATCAATTTCAGAGCTCTTCCTCGATTATTCTTGCAAAAGTGCAGAAGGGTTTCGTCCTTTAAGCTTGCTGATCCTTAGGGATTACTCATATCTAAATAAGAGCATTTTTTCTTTTTAAAGAATTTCGAAAGTGTATTACATACGGTAAGAGTTTTGTTCTGCGAAACCTTTGTGGCAATTTTTGTAGTGCAAACTCATGAGATCAGCACACCCACATAACCTACAGTAGCAGTGACTCAGCGTTAATTTTTAGAATTTCAAAGTGGATTACGGTAGTATTACTGGGATTTCGTAACTAACTGCGCGAGATTGGCGTACTTAGGTTCAAAGTTCCCAGATCCAAGTTTTTTTTCCATATGAGGGTGAACCATTTACATACCCTGCTATTTCTGCATAAATGCGTCGAAAATGTAAGGCAAATGCCAACCCCAGGCAGTACATTTGCACAA